TCTTGCAGGAGATTTATGAAGTTCAATTCCCGGGTATGGGTTTGAAATGCGTTATGTTCAAGTGTGAGTGGTACGACCCCGTCGTAAACAGAGGTGTTCGGATTAACAAGAACGGTGTAGTTGATGTCAATGGTGGACGAAGGTACAACAAATTCATTTTTTTTTAATATCCAGGTTTCCAGTATTAATTAATTTTTACATTGATATTTATTTTCGTAGGTACAACAAGTTTGAGCCTTTCATATTAGCTTCCCAAGCAGATCAAGTTTGCTTCATTTCATACCCTCGGATTACTACCTCGTGAATAAACTGGTTAGCTGTTATCAAAGTTACACCTCGAGGACGAATAATCGCTGGAGAAGAACCACAATTACAAGAAGAAAACACCAATAAGATCGAGGAAGCTGAAGCATAAATTGATGAGTTACTACTCATTGATCCGCATAATCGTGAATACGAAGTTGTTCCTGATCACTCAACGGACGAAGGTGTAGACGACGAGTTTTTAGAAAATGATGATGTCTCAACAGATTACGACAATGTATCCGAATGAATTATATATGTTTTAAATTTGTTTAAGCAAAAAATCAATTTGCATTTGGGGTTTATGTGTAGAAGAGATTAGGAGTTTGGTTGTAGAAGTGGTTATAAGTTAAGGACGTTGTGGTTTGGGGTTTGGGGTTTCGAGTTTAGGGATTTATAAACCCTTTCCTCGTAAAGCCCTAGTAATAGAAAACGTGGGCATAGCCGTTTCCTCGTAATGTTCTAGTAAAGGTATTACTAGGGCTTTACGAGGAAAAAAACGCGGGCATAGCTATTTCCTCGTAAATCGTTTTCCTCGTAAGGTCTGGAGTTGACGAACGCCAGACCCAGCTGACTCAGCTGACTAGGACTTCAGTCGTATTATCCACTCTTGAAGTGGATAAGATTTACGAGGAGGTAAATAATATGTTTTACTATTAATTTTTAATATTTATTTAAATTTTTTCTTAATGTTATTAATATTTTTATTTACAGGTCGCCCCTAGGAAAAAGGGGCGTAGCGTCGGGAATGGCTCGGTTAACGATGTCCCTGCAGCGACATCGTCTTATCATCAGGAGCAGCACGATGTCAATGCTCAGCTGCGCTCAGAGTTGCAGGCGACGCAGTCTCATGTAAGTTCGCTCACCGAGCATGTGACTTCTCTCACAGATGTCCTCGACATTTTGGCGGTTGGAAACCCGCAAATGGAGGAACTGTTGCGTCAGAGACGAGAACGTGGAGAGATTCCAACCCAACAGCATCCACCATCACAGTCACAGCCGGCAACCAACTTAGGAGAGGAGCAGGATTTGGCGAGCCAGGACGAGTTTGTTCGGCAATTTCACGACCAGCATCCGTAGTTTTTTTTTCTTTTTAATTGTATATTATGAATTTTAAAACTTCATTGTATATTATTTAGTTATTTATAAAATACTTTGTTTTTTATTTTTTATTTATAATTTGATTTTTTTATTTTTAAAAATTATTTATATTTATAATTAATTTTTTTGATAGGGAATAAAATATTTCGAAGCAAAATCCTCGTAAATTTCCAAGTAATGTCCTCGTAATTAATTCTAGTAAGTTCCTCGTAATGTATTACTACGAGCTTACGAGGAAAATCTTACTACGAGCTTACGAGGAAACGTTATGAGGAAAAGCTAACCACGCCTTTACGAGGAAAAGTTTCCTTGTAAATTTGCTAGGACCTTACGAGGTAAAAGGCTTTACGATGAACGTGTTTCGACGAAACGAGTTTCCTCATTATTTCCTAGTAATTGGCCATTTACTAGGAAATAACGAGGAAAATCCGTCCTAGTAATGGACGAGTTTTTTTGTAGTGCGTAGACTCTGATGATGAAGCAACAACTCGTCCCCCAAAAGTTAAGGCTTCAAAAAATCGTTCTAGGAAGCCAGCTGCTGATAGTAAGGACCTAGAAGAGTTCCAGGCAATGTGGAACCTGAAAAGGGAGGATTTGTCGATGAAGAAAGGCTGTGTAGGATCAAGCTACTGGAGAGTCTCATTGGTAAACAAGGACCACTCGCGGGTTATGAAGAAACTTTGAAGAAGAAACTCATTAATGAGTTAGAGTATAATTAAAATAAATCTTGTTGTGTTGCTTGTGTTTCTTGCTTGTCGTGTTTATGTATGTTTGTCCTAAGCTTGGGTTTCTTAAGTGATCATGTATGCCTCTGTTTTTATTTAATGTAATATGCTTGTCGTGTTTATGTTCTTAAGTGATCAAGTATGCCACTGATTTTATTAAATGAAATATGCTTGTCGTGTTTATGTTCTTCACTGATCATGTATGTTTTTGTTTCTATTTCAGGTCACTAGTTAAGAAGATTGAATGGGGTAGTTGGTAAACTTATTACCATCAGAGCCACGTACCATGTTTCGTTTGCAACGAACACAAAACGTGGCACTGATAGTAATTAGTGTTCCCACTTCTTTGTTACGATTGAAGATTCAATGATTGGAGACAAAGGATCCTCTGTTAATGTTGCTTTTCTTTGTTTATGTTTTTTGATTAATCTTGTTTTGTTTTGTTTTGCAGGGAGTGAGGACTGTGAGATCACGGGTCCTCTGCGTGATTGTGTCCTCTGTGTGCTTGTGTCTCTTTGCAGGGAGTGAGGACTGTGAGATCACGGAAAGAGTGAGGACTGTGAGATCACTGTGCTTGTGTTGAAAATGTATCACGGGTCCTCTGTGTGCTTCTGTTTCTTTGTATCACGGGTCCTTCCCACCAACAACTTGTGTCTGTACTTGTGTCCTTTCTGTGAAGACCAAAAGCTATTGTATGTTCTGTACTTGTGTCTTTTTGTATCATGGAATGTTGAATGTATTTGAAACTCTTTGTATTTGACAATCATTGTATCACAGATTTATTTGTATCTTCACTTCTCAATATAAACTCATTCTCTCATTTCATCATCTATTTGTATCTTCACTGCTAAATGTAAACTCATTCTCCACTTCTCAATAAAAGCTCATTCTCTCCTATCACCATCTCAACAAACCAATCGAAGACCATCTCCATATCACCAAACCAAAACACAATCATTTCATCATCTATTTGTATCTTCTTACCATACCATTCCCTCTCATCTTAACACACTTTCTTCCATCTCAAGTTATCTCTTTTATCCAATATTTTATGGCTGGTTCTTCTTCTCAAGATATCTTAGATGAAGCATTTGATGAGAGATTTAATGAAATCTTTGATAACCATTTTGAACAAGCTTTCGAGAAATTTACCGTTAATGTTGACCAAGAACGAAGGAAGAAAAAGAAAAAAAGAGCTTATATCGACAGGCATCGTGAAGAAGGCAATGTACATTTATGGAATGATTATTTCAGTGAAACTCCAACGTATCCCGAAATTTTTTTCCGGCGACGGTTTAGAATGAACAAGACATTGTTCTTGCACATTGTGGATCGACTCTCCAACGAAGTTGATTTCTTTCGCCAAAAGACTGATGCTCTTGGAAGACAGGGTCTCTCACCACTACAAAAGTGTACAGCCGCCATTCGTGTCTTAGCATATGGTAGTGCGGCTGACACGGTCGATGAATACCTCCGGCTCGCTGAAACGACAGCTCAGTCATGTTTGGAGCATTTCGTGGAGGGAATAATTAATTTTTTCGGGGATGAGTACCTTAGAAGACCAACACTGGCTGATCTTCAACGTATACTTGATATTGGAGAGTATCGTGGATTTCCCGGGATGATAGGAAGCATCGATTGTATGTATTGGGAATGGAAGAATTGTCCCACCGCTTGGAAAGGGCAATATTCTCGTGGTTCGGGCAAGCCAATAATTGTTTTAGAAGCGGTTGCTTCATATGATCTCTGGATATGACATGCATTTTTTGGACCTCCAGGTACCTTAAACGATATCAATGTTCTTGATCACTCACCAGTTTTTGATGACATAATTCACGGTCAGGCTCCGCAAATCACTTATTCCGTCAATGGAAGAGAGTATCATTTGGCTTACTATCTCATTGGTGGTATTTATCCTAAATGGGCAACTTTTATCCAATCTATTCCACTACCACAAGACCCGCAAGCAGTTTTATTTGCTCAACTTCAAGAAGCTGTCCGAAAAGATGTCGACCGTGCTTTCGGGGTCTTGCAAGCTCGTTTTGCCATTGTTAAAAATCCAGCACTTTTTTTGGGATAAAGTCAAAATTGGAAAGATAATGAGAGCATGTATCATACTCCATAATATGATAGTAAGACGAACGAGATGGATATACTCAGTTTGATGTTTCAGAGTTCCAACATGGAGAAGACACCGGAAGTTCACATGTCGATTTCACGTATTGTACATATATCCCTTCAAATATTGAAAATATGATGGGTGTTCGAACTAGAATTCGTGATAGACAAATGCATGAACAGCTGAAAGCTGATTTGGTTCAACATGTGTGGCGTAAATATGAACGTGATGAAAACGACACTTAAGCTCGGATCTTTTTTTTAAATTATTTTATATTATTTTACTAATTTTTTTTATGTTTTTATTTCAAATTCTATGTTTTAAATGTAATCTTTTATTATGTCTTATATAATAAATAAAATTTATCTTAAATAAACAAATGTTTAAAATTTTTTTTTTTTAAGAAACCCAAAATAAGCAACTTTTATTGTAGGTAAAAATTGGGCGGGTGCTTAGCGTTGGTTCTTAAACCACTTTTACAACTAAAAAGTATTAAACAAAGATTAAGCACCCATAATTAAGCATTTGCATTTGAGGGTGCTTTACTTTGCCAAGTCAGCATATTAGCCCCAGTAAAAGAAATAATATATTTTGATCAAACGGCCCCAGTAAAATAATAGAAGCAACTGGTAAAATCTGGATGTGGTCCCTTTAATTTAGGATCTTCTCTGAATCTCAGATGGGGTCTCGTAAGCAGGCATATTTGTCACCGTTCGTTGGTCTCCCGTTTGTGATTTCGAATTCAAGCAGAAATGGGGAGCTTGGGGACGTTACTGAGATATCCAGATGATGTATATCCTCTGCTGAAGATGAAAAGAGCGATCGAGAAAGCGGAGAAGCAGATCCCACCGGAGCCACACTGGGGTTTCTGTTATTCAATGCTCCACAAGGTCTCTCGGAGCTTCTCTCGTTATCCAGCAACTAGGTACCGACCTCCGCAACGCTGTACGTGTTCCTTTCCTCTCTTGTCTTGTCTCAAAAACCATATTTTATACAATCATATGTGCATTCCGAGTCCATCGTGGGGACTGAAACATTTAGGATTTTATGTCTGTATTTTGAAATTAATTTAGTCGAATGAGCTACACATATTAACCAAAATTTTGGAGGCGGAATAATTTTTCAGAACCGGTCGTGTGTTTATTTTTCAGTGTTCAACGTGTTGGTTTGTTTGTGTCTGAACTGACATTTATTCTATTGTGTGGATGTTGGCGATATTATGTTTATAGAACCTATGACACTGAATGTATCCATGTGGGATTTTGATTATATATTGGCATCTCTAAGAGTTTGTGTTACACTTAGTTCTGCAGATTTCTGTAACTTGGTTTTGTCGGATTACAGATAGTTGGCTTGAGCTGCAGTTAATGAGTATTGTTTTGTCTTGAACTGGGAACCTCTTGTTTATTGAACCTTTTGTGTCATATCATATGAGTCTTTCTTGGATCATGTAACCCATAGTGTGTTTTTCTTCTTCTGTAGAATCGATGACACTGACTGTATCTATGTGGGACATTATGTTGACATCCTTTTAGACTTAGTTCTGCGGATTGCAGAAAATTAGTTTTCAGTTTAGAGCTAGTTTGCGTGCGCTGCAGTGAATGGAGATTTGGTTTTTTCTTGAACTGAGAATCTTTTGTTATTGACATTTCGTCTATACGTTTGGTTATTAATTATTGTGCTATCATGAGTCTTTGTTGGATCATGTAACGCTAGAAGAGGTTTAGTTTTTTTTTTTTTTTTATCAGAAATTATCCACATTTATTGCTTCCTTCGCATGCTATTCATTTATAGGTGTGTTCGATCTTGCAGTACCTCTTATTCAGTTCTCCTTTCTTTGTAGGTGTGTGTGTTCTACTTGGTTCTCCGAGCTCTTGATACTGTCGGTTAGTGTCTCTTAACTATTTCTTCTAATATTAGGTTTGATTTATTGAGGCTTCTTTACAATCTGCAAGGCTATCATTTTAGATCCATATTTCTTTTTCATGCTCCTGCCGTTAATATCATTTTTTTGTTGGTTCTACAGAGGATGACACAAGCATACCAACTGATGAAAAGCTTCCCATCTTGATAGCTTTCCACCATCACATCTACGATACTGACTGGTACTATTCATGAAAGTCGGAAGACTCTTTTAATCTTGATCTTTCACTTGCCTTTGATATCTTACTGTTTAACTAACTGATTTTACTCACTCAACTTTAGGTGGTACGAAGGAGTACAAGGTTCTGATGGACCAATTTCATCATGTTGCTGCAGCTTTTTTGGAACTTGAAAAAGGGTTAGTCCTACTCTATGCTCATGTGCACTTCTGTTGTGTTTTAGAATTTTTCTGCTCATGTCTTTGCACGTTTGTTGAATTAGTTACCGAATTTTCTAAAATTCTCTAACTGCTTACTGAGAATATTGATAATTTTTATGTTTAACGTTAAACTTCGGTCTATGAAGGTATCAAGAGGCTATCGAGGAAATTACTAAAAGAATGGGTGCAGGGATGGCAAAGTTTATCTGCCAAGAGGTCTGTGGTACAAACATTTTTTATTACTCTCTGTTTCTTTTAGAGTCTTGAAATTATCAGAACTTATTAGGGTACTGTTTCGTGAAAAATGTTGTGTACTTATCCAGTTTTCCCTGTTATACGCAGGTAGAAACTGTTGATGACTACAATGAGTACTGCCACTATGTTGCTGGACTTGTGGGTTTAGGTCTGTCTAAACTCTTCCTAGCTTCAGGATCAGAAGTTTTGTTGCCAGATTGGGAGCATATTTCCAGTTCAATGGGTTTATTTCTTCAGGTACAATAGTGTGTTATGACATGTTGAATGTTTGCTCCTCAAATCTTTGCAACCTTTGAAGTTATATCTTTAAATAATTCATACAACATTGATATTTGCAGAAAACAAACATTATCATAGATTATCTTGAGGACATTAATGAAATACCAAAGTCCCGCATGTTTTGGCCTCGCAAGATTTGGGGAAAATATGCTGACAAGCTAGAGGTGCGTAGTATTCCATTCTCAATCTCTCATCTTAGTACTGATGTTACTCATGTTGACTATTGGCTAACAATGCTCGTCCTTTCTTTGGTGAACTATAAATCCTAATGTAGGACTTGAAATACGAGGAGAATTCAACTAAAGCAGTGCATTGCTTGAATGAAATGGTCACAAATGCTTTGACGCATATTGAAGACTGCTTCAAGTACATGGCTGCGTTGCGTGATCCTTCGATATTTCGGTTCTGTGCTATCCCTCAGGTCAGAGAAATTTATATCACATATTTTCCTCTTTAACTGAGCTTGCATAGGTATAGAATATCTTGGAAGCTAATATTCAATTTTGCTTGGATGTGTTTCTTTGATCAGATCATGGCGATTGGAACACTTGCATTGTGCTATAACAATGTACAAGTATTTAGAGGTGTTGTGAAACTGAGGCGAGGTAAGATGTTTATCTTGAGATTTGTTTGCACTCCTTTAAGCATCATCTTACCATTTAGATCTCAAGCAAGTTTTATTTTCAACAGTCTTGAGAACGTGTGACAAGCATTTCTTACAAGTTTCTATTGTTCAGGTCTGACTGCCAAAGTCATTGATCGCACAAAGACAATGGCTGATGTCTATGGTGCTTTCTATGATTTTTCCTGCATGCTAAAAACAAAGGTATGCCGTCACTTCCTCTTGTGTTATTTGACTGACTCTGTTCTGTTTTAGAAGATGATGACGATAAAATGTGTATTATAATTACATAGGTCGACAAGAACGATCCAAATTCCAGTATGACACTAAGCTGACTTGAAGCCGTTCAGAAAATCTGCAGAGACACTGGAGTCCTTCATAAGAGGTGCATACTTTTTTTGTCTTTTGTCTTCTTATTCTATTAGATACTCTAGATTAGAGATTATGGTCGGTCAAAGAATATTGAGCTTCTGTTTTCCCAAGTCTGCTATGCTTATTAGAGGATCCAAAGTCACTTAAGCAAATATAGAACTGCTTTCTGATTTGTGGTACATAATAGCAACTCCTTTGATTCCAAAAGCAACTTCGTTAATCCACCTTTTGCGTATGAAATCCAAAAGATGTCTCACTAAGAAACTAGTCCAAAAATAGGATAAGATTATCATAGCTTTTTGTTTGGTTTCTGATGAATATTTGTCTCTCTTCCTCTCAGAAAATCTTATATTAGTGACAAAGGACAATCATACAATATCTATGTAAGTGACACACATTCCTCTTTTTCCATGGGTTTCTCTCTTTTTATTTTAACAGATACATTACTTATCATCATGCTCTTCTTTCTCTACCCCCAAAAATGCAGATTGTAATGCTTGTGATTCTACTGGCCATAGTCTTTGCATATCTCAGAGCAAACTGAGTGATCAGTGATGGATAGTATAATTCCTAGGTTCATTCTTATTGATGCCACTCTCTTTTCTTAGAACTAAATTTCTATTCAAGATTGTTTCCAGAACAAGAGAGATTAAACTTGGCTTTGGTCTCAACTCGACACCTGTAGTTTGAATAATCATACATTTCTTAATGTATCTCTCTTGTTTATGTTGCGGTTAAATATATATTGACAATGATTTTTGGAATTCTGGAATACCAATTGGAAATTAAATGTTAAATATTGAATTGCACCAATTCAAACTCAAGATCCCAACATGAACATGTGCCCGTGAACACATTGTAGGACCAATGTTTGAAAAATGAATTACTATGTGAAAGTAATTGGACACAAACAGATAAGCCCAAAAAGGAAGTGTATTCACATATGAAGATAATAAGTACACTTCAAATACAATATTGAGATGATACCTAAAGATTGAACAACCTCTTATAATCTTATTCAATTACCACAACTATCTGATTCTGAAAATGGCAGAACTCCGTATCAACGCTTAACCTCATGAACATGGACTTCTGTTTAGCCGGTGAATCCCTTCTCTCTCTCTTCTTCTTCTTTCTACAGAACTTACCAGAACCATAACCAACAAAGACAACCACACTGTTACCTTCAATGTATTCTTTCTCTCAAAAGACTTCAGACACTTGGCTAGCAAGAACTCGTTCCCGTCTTTCAATGTACTCATAAGGGTACCAACCAGCTTTGCCTTTGCATTCACCTTTTGCCCATTCGCTGCCTGTAACCTGATCAACAGACAAATGTGTTATCACACAATCACTTTTGAACTGTACCGGCTAAATGAGAAATGAAAGGAGACATTGTTTGTTTTCCCATGTGGAAGTTGGTTTACTATCAAACCTTTCTAACAACAACGTATTCACCAGTCGATAAGCTGAGCTCCACACCTGTCACACCGTGATATGGGAACAAGACCTGAAAATGTTTTATCAAAGAGAGAATAATATGTTACAACGGACCAATATAAATCTTAGATGTAGTCTCTCTTTCGCTTCTCCAATCATAAACAGTTTATAAACATCTGATTTATAAATATCTAATCCGTATTTCTCTCTGAAACTTCACTACCAGTATACACAAAAGTTTAACTCGCAAAGGTAGGTTTCAGATATTCGTGAGAGAAAAAAACAAAAGCAGTAGATAACATTAGGCAGAGTGACATACCTCTCCTAAGAAGTAAGCCATGCTATTTGTTGGCATGTCATGCGTGTGAGATGCAAACACTCCATTCGCTTCCTCATATGATGGAGGTGGCGGCATGCTGTCTCCATTTGATGGAGTAGCGGGAGCTTCAATACGTTGCCTCTCAGATACCATCTGCACGTTCGAAGAATGTTCAATTTTTCCCTTAGTTGTGACTCATATAAAGACGAATTCACTGTTAAAGCTGTAAAACTAATGCACACCAACCTCTCCTTCTAGCTGATCAAGTATTTGGAGGACTCTTTGATGGTATCCACGTTCAGATTCAACCTTGACATAAGTAATAAACAATACAGTTGTTACATAATAAGTATATATGGGCAAGGAAATAAAAGTTGACCTTAAGAACGGAGCTATTATAAATCAATCACGCTACCAATGAAATAAGTCGTTCAAGAGTCAGTTTTTGTTGTTGATCTTCAACGGAGGATAAAGCAGAAGCGGCTTCCTTCCCCAATGTTGTCATATTTGATTTTAGGTCTTGAAGTTTTGCTTCAGCATATTCCAGTTTCATCAATATGTCAGGATTGCCTTGAGACTCTCTGGCTTTTGCTTGGAGTCTTGCAACTTCTGTAGCCTTTTTAATTTTAAAGCGGGCAAATGAGTAAAATTCTATCATGAAAGTGGATAACAATGGCTAGTTCTAGAGAAAGGATAACACTCATACTTGAATGAAAGATAATCAAATTACTTTCTATGTTTTTGTGGTACCTGAGCTTCAGCTTCTTGGCGCATTTTGTCATAACGTTGAGCAAGATGTCTAGCATCCTCCAATGGAGCTCCCAAAACCATTGCCCTTAATGGCTCAGAAACCTGACAAATTCATTAAGGATTACTTATGATGGTGAGAAAACAAATTCTGAATAAAGCAAAATATATCTTCACAGGAAAGCAATTGTTTGTGTAGTTCGATTACATGAACGAAGATATGACTTGACATGTACAACTCTGCTTAACAGTTAAGAGTTGGAAAGAAGGATGAGAAAGACTGTACCAAAAGCCTTTAACACATTTCCACGCTCTTTTTCCATATGTGCACGAGCACGTCCGTAGCTCAGTGCAGCCTTTGTTAATACATTACCATTCGTACATGTATTATCTGAACCATATTTCCTGCTATCCTTAGACAGTTTTGTCCCTGAGGAACAACGAGCACACTTTGAAAGGTTAGCAAAGTCAAGTCTATAACAACATAAATCAACCTCAAGGGTGTAAATAAATCACCAATTTCAACTTGTTTTGACCCTGTGACTATATAACCTTCCACGCCGCGAACAATGTCTCTTTGGTAATGCTGAAACGAAAGAACGTATGAGTCCAAAATTGGATAGCATACAAAGCTTCAAAAAAAAGTCAAAAGGCTTTTTAAGTTAGAACCTTGGCAGCACGTGTGGATATGTAAAGCTTTTCTAGTTTCTGATGCTGGTGGAGTTCGGAATCATCCGATAAACCAGTGCCATGCCCTCTCCCTCCTCCAAATTGCTTGAAGACAGCCTTAACCATTCAACCAAAAACACTAAGTCAGTTTACTATTCAAACCTCAAACTCAAGCATTTATGTGTACTAATTCAGTTTACTATTCAAACCTCAAACTCAAGCATTTATGTGAATCATATTCTATACAAAAAAAATCGTCATCATTAAATTTCTGATATTGACATATAAACAAGACATGAGCAACATAATGAACATTTGAATCTTTAAATGAAATTAAAATATCCATCACAGTCACAATGAATCCAACCCCCCCCCCCCCCAAAAAAAACATAATGCACAACTCATATCCAAGTACAGAGTAAGTCTGAAAGTCATCGATCCGAAAAAGCTATCCCCTTTAATTGATTAATTCACCAGAAACAGACAAAACAACCAAATCACAAACAAAAATAGAGAGAGAAATAAGAATCTGGGCAGCAAGAGAAATGTGGATTTAAGTAAATAAAAATCGAAAACAAAGTTTTGGCACCTGTCTCGCGACTTGTTCCCTGAGCCTGCTTGCTTGTTTTTTAATAGCATCCATTTCTTTTTTTTTTTTTTTTGAATGAATGTTAAATTTTTATTCATCAAAAAAGCCTTCATACAAACTAGTGCTTACTTGCTGCTCAAGGAGCTAAACAAAACTCTTGAAATCAAAAGAACTAATTACATTCTAGTTTGAAACCAATATTGCAAAAGCCTCTCCATCCCCCTTTCATTCTTACTTCTCATAAGGCTGAGCTTATTCCGAATACCCTTGTCAATGACCTTCTTGAGGACTTCAATAGGAAGCAACTTATCACCATGCTTTAGTTTATTCCTTTCACGCCAAACTGCATAGAGCACTGCCTGGAGAGCGTACCTTAAGCAGAAAAGACTCAACTTATCTCTATCTCCATCCACAATCAACTGCATTATCTCTTCCCAGATATTCGTATAGGAGTGGCCAAGAATGCCTTTAACAGAACTCTCCCATACTTGTGAAGTGTAGGAACAAGCAAAGAAAAGATGATCTCTTGTTTCTATGCCATTTTTACACAAAGCACAAGTTGTATCAACCCCCACACACCATTTGGCAACTCTATCCATTGTCGATAGACGGTTCAGACAAGAAAGCCAAGCGATGAAAGCGAACTTTGGCATGGCTTGAGGGAACCAAATTCCGCAAGCCCACTCACAGTTAGGATAAGGGTCTCTAAGCAAACTCCAAGTCTCCCTAGTCAGAAACTGATTCTTATATCCCGACTTCCTTCTCCAAAGACAAACATCCATTTTATCACAGAGCTTATCCTTTATCCTCGTCAAATCAACTTCAATATCATTAAGCTCATCTCTACGGTGAGTTCTCCTTCTCCGAGGATTCAGTATCGCTTCCTCAACCGTGGCATCCTTACTAACCCCCAAGTCAATTACACCTCTTGCTCCCAGAATATCGAAGAGAACTCCTCTATCCATCCACTTAGCATCCATTTCTCAGATCACAACTCTTCCTTTTTTGTTATTCTTCCTTGTATCTTACACTTACTCCCTCTTCGATAACCAATAAGAAAGAGCTCAGCGAAGAAGAAAAAGAGATTCAAAATAGTCAAATGTCGTTTAAACAAAACGATGAGATCATAGGCAGATTCTCTGACTCATAAAGAAGTTCCAAAAGTTAATGGAATGGGCTCATAAGGCCCATTTATCTTAATATTAGGCCCATTTATTATAACAAACCACAAAAAAAAAAAAGGGGAAACAAAAACTGGGCCATAAGCAAACCACAGTTATCAACAGGTCTTCCTTCCTCACAGTTGTTGAAGCTTCTTCACTGTTTGCTCTCTAACCATGGTTGTGTTCAGTGGCTGAGGCAGTTTGGTAGGAGGGTGGTCAAATGATCCAGGTGAACTTTCATAATTAAAAAAATTTACATGTATTTTTTACTAAAAATTTGGAAAATATTTATTACAGTTTTTGGTGTATTGACCCATGCAATATATTGTATCAGTTATGATTTGACCCTCCTAAAGATTGGGCTGGCTCGGCCACTGGTTGTGTTGTCGGATAATCTCTTTTTGTATCTCTCATGCGGTAGCTTCCATTTATCATTTTCTGATAAACGAGTATTCGAATTTGTATAGGAAAAACAAGAGGATCTCCATGGGTCGTGAATGAGGCAAGAAGAACCTGTAAGTAACGTGCTTTACAAGCTTTGAGTTTCAGATTTCGATATTTCAATCTTTGTTTATTGAGAGAGGACAAATTCTTTGTTTTTTTTTTCTTTTTTAATTCAGTGTTGATCCTTTCTCCAAGAAGGATTGGTATGACGTGAAGGGCTCCTTCTTTCAAAGAGAGAAATGTTGGCAACACTCTTGTTTCTAGAACTCAGGGTGCCAAGGTAAATATCTACGTCTGTTACTACACTTGAGAAGAGATTAGGTTTATTGTTTTGTTGTTCTTTAGGTTTAGAGCTTTTGGTTGGTTTCATTATTACAGGAACTGCATTGTGTCGGGATATTGTAATTGCTATGGTTTTATTTGTCAAAATCTAAACTTTTTCTTCTGGGTTTGCTCAAAACTGTGACCAGATTGATTGCCTCTGAGGGGTTGAAACACAGAGTCTTTGAGGTCTCTCTTGTTGATCTTCAAAACGATGACGATCAATCTTACAGGAAGATTCGTCTCAGAGCAGAAGATGTTCAAGGAAGGAATGTGTTGACACAGTTCTGGGTATAAGCTTTGAACTTTGCTTTTTAAAATAAGTAAATACAGTGAACTGTTTCTGTTACATTCTGTTAGGGCATGGATCTCACAACCGACAAGCTGAGGTCATTGGTGAAGAAGTAGCAGACATTGATTGAAGCTCATATCGACCACAGACAGCTACACCTTGAGATTGTTCTGCATTGCCTTCACCAAGAGGCGTGCTAACCAGGTGAAGCGTACTTGTCATGCTCAGTCCAGCCAGGTAAATAATAATAACCACAAACATTGCATATGTGTGTTGTTCTTTTAGATTGACATTGTTTTTTTTAATGTTTTGTTCTATCATTGTAGATCCACCGAAAGATGAGGGAGATTATGGTAAAGGATGACTTCATCTTGTGACCTTAAGGAGCTTGTGGCCAAGTTCATCCCTGACTCCAATGGAAGAGCTATTGAGAAGTCAACACATCATCTTTACCCATTGCAGGATGTTTTCATCCGTAAAGTCTACGATCCTCTAGGCTCCTAAGTTTGACCTTGGAAAGCTCATGGATGTGAGTTGAAACTAAATAGCTGTCATCAAGATCTTATCTTGTTTTTTAGCCATAAATTAAATCTAAATTTAGTTATGTTTTCTTGGTAGTTCATGGTGACTACACAGCTGTGGATGTTGGTGTGAAGATAGACAGGCCAGCAGATGAGACAGCTAAAACTGAAATCATCGGAGCTTAGAAGTTTATAGATTTTTTCTTCTTCATGTTGGCAAGAAAAGCTAATGTTATCATTGTTGTGGAGTTTATGTTGACTGTTGAAAGAAATTCTACAACAGTGTGACTGTTTTTTGTACTCTTTTTTGATAGATTATTGCTCTTGTTTAATTTTTATACTGTCTTCATTCCAGGACTTTCTTAAAATATTAGGAAGAAAATATATATTTAAATAGTGTCAGTGTAATTGATTTTACAATATACTTTTGAAATTCTAAAGTCGCTATTGCATAACAATTAGCTGATTGTTCAGTTTGTGCTGCACAACTTCTATTTTTGGTTACACTTACACCAATCTCTTTCACTGATCTTGCGTATATCTTACCGTTTTTGATTCGAGGAATGCTATTTTATCACGTTTGCTAAGATTATCATTTTTGACTATGGTTTGTGACGAATGATTACATTATTTTTCAAACATTCAGTGATGCAAATGGATTATGTTTAGTTAAAACTCAAATGATTATGTTTATGACTTTTGTCTTGGCTTTCTTTTCAAGTTTGATTTTCTCTGATAATTGTTTAATTACTCTCATTTAAGAAAGAGGGACTGTTTTTAATGTCTAGTTTGCGATTTAGTGTCGTTGGATTCAAATAAAACTTACAATGAAGATTGGGTATCGTTTAGCAAAACTTTCCCCATACTGATGATGACAGATATTGAGTGAACACAAGAATACAAGCATCATTACCTCAAGCAACAACTTGATTTAATTACAAGCCTTGAAGCTAGCTGTTCCATTCCTATACGTTAGAAAATGAAAAAGGAGAAAGAGTGATGATTCTAATGGAACCGAGCAGAAAGAGGAAAATGCGACACAAGACCTTTTGCCCCCATCCCTCCCTCGTCACTCGTCACCTTACAAGCCTACTCCCTTTCTTCTTATAAAATCTTCTTAACACAAAAGGATAATATATATACACCAAAATACCAAATAAGGTTGGCCTAGAAAATCACTACCAAACTAAGTCATCGTAATGACTCCTTTAAAAACAACTCTATTTTTTTCCAAGATCAATTATGCCTAATATCTTTGCAAACTAATGAAAAACTATGTGTATTATATAAATAAACAATTATATCAAGGTTCGAAGAAGTATGACATTCCCTCGCGATTATTCGACGATTTTTGAAACATTTTATTAACCGGTTGAGCTATGGTATTGTTTATTGTCATACATCAGAATTGATTTTGATATGAATGACAACTTTTTGCAGAATATCAAGTTTAAGTTTGAATTTCAAGATTTAGAATTCAATTTCACAAACTAGTTTGTAGAACATTTACATATGGCAAAAAAATTTCTGATCAGGACTCTTTAGTTTAGAAGCAAAAAAAAAATATATATATATTATATTCCCCAAGGTAATAGTGGTTGTTGATCTTTAATTTGAAGTAAACTATAAAACGAAACATTGCGTAATTGGAAAGGAAAAGAATTTGTTTTGATAGTATTGATTTTTCATAATCTATACTATTAAAGCTGAAGTACAAAAAGTTAAGTGTTTGGAAACATGAATAGAAAATATTTAAAATTATGGTGATTGGAAACAATGATAGCCTACAAACCTAATGGGCTTTATTTATTAAACTAAAGATTAATGTGGCCCAAAGTATCATTATTATTAATTTTGGGTTTTCTATCATTAATATTATTTTATTTCTGNGGAAACATGAATAGAAAATATTTAAAATTATGGTGATTGGAAACAATGATAGCCTACAAACCTAATGGGCTTTATTTATTAAACTAAAGATTAATGTGGCCCAAAGTATCATTATTATTAATTTTGGGTTTTCTATCATTAATATTATTTTATTTCTGAAAATTATTTTTACATATATATACTCGTGTTTTAAATTTATTTAGAGTAAATCAAGAATAATATATATTTTATTTAAATAATTTATATTGACTATTGTTATAAGTTTTTACCAGTGATATACTTGATTTCTAATTCTTCATTGAAAAATTAACTTAAAAATTTGACTAAATTGTTTCGTGTATATAACTTTGTACCCTGCACATTTAGCAAAAAAAAAACCTTATAAACTATTACTAAAATATTAACGGGTCACAATATTATACCGACACCCCTGTTACACAATACAATGATGAAATACAATATTTAAACAGTATACTATTACTTAGTAAAATTGGAACCATTAGATTGTACTTTTTGAAATGTTTATATATACCATAAAAATAAAGACCCGCCCAATCGAGCTGGTTATGATCTAGTCTTATATATTAAAACAGAAGTCATGACTTGACTTCTTATGTAATTTTTTTTAAAAATGGGCTATTACTAAAAAGTTATGTTACATTAACTCTCTAATAATCTTATCATTATTATATCTTATGAAAAATCATATCTATAATAACAAAGATACGCTTAACAATTTGGTTTTGATAAATTACCCCCACACCTTCCAACTTAGTCACACAAAATATGTTAGTAAATATAAGTTTAAGAATCTTCTATTATTTATAAGGAAATATGTCAATAATAGTTAAATGCATCCACAATATATTAACAAAAATCACAGATTAGTAATGTGGAATATTTATATAGCCTAACAAAATTTACACGCTATATATATTAGATAAATTTATTTCGACGTAAATTTTTAAAATTATATTGTTTAAAAAAAATTGTTTAAAAGATTTTTTTTAAAATAAAATTATTTATAATATTAATTTATGAAGCTATAACTTTAGTTTTTAGTAAAAATTTTTTCAATGTTTATATTATCTTTTCAAATTAAAGTATACTAATATTTAATCAAGCTCTATTTATATTATTTTATCTAAAAATGAAATACTAATCTAACAAACAATAAAATATATAAGAAGAAACAAACACAAGTTTGAAAAATATGCATAATATAGAAAATTTGAAACAATCTATTTGATTAAAATATTTATTATATAATATGAATATATTTGAAAAATATTAACTATTCATATCGTAAATATGTGATTACTATAATATATACCAATTTATAAGTGAAAACAAAATATTTATATAACTAACTATAACTGTAAGTCAAATTCTAGTTATTGTTAAATCCTGAAAGGATTTGGCTATAGTGGTTGCTTTGGTGAACTCCACTCCAACGGTGGTTTGCATCTTTTCTATTCCCATCACTACCAAATCCACGCTTCTTTCTCTTTTATGGGCGGTAATACTAATAGGTGAATTGCTTTTTAGGTTTCGTTTTGTTGAACTTTATATATGCTGTTTTTGTGTTTAGATATTATCATATTGGTGTCTGAATCCAATTTGTTTTTTTCTTTAAATTTACATTTTTAAAAGTATGTAGCAATAAATAGAGGATTATCGGTCGGATACTAGATCGCCTGGGAATGTTCTTCGTAGTAACATAAACTTTTTTTTACTCATTATTATTTCTACTTCTTAGAGTGAAATGATACTATGCTAACTTATTTGTAATGAATGCATATATTACATATTTACATTACTCAAAATTAAGGGATATAGAGGGAGCCACCATGACCTTCCCATATTGAGCAAGGTAAATATAGGCATCGAAGCTAAATATAGGCATCGAAGCATGATATCCCTTCACAACAATTAAGAAAACGAAAAGATATTATAAAAAAAATCAATCAAAATGTATTGAATAATGTGATATTAATATAGACCTAACTTGTCAATTTCTGACGAAGGATATACACCAGACATACACGTAGCGAACTCACTGATAATCAGGTCTCGAGAAAAATGAAGGCATCAAACCAAAATCTTGACGTATGCGGTATGGCTTTTAAAAAAGTAAAACACTGCTTTTTGTTTTGCTTTAAAAAAACATAATCTGAGAACTAATTCCAAGAAAATGAATGTGTGTCAGTTGTAAATGATAAAAACAAAATTAAGCAGCCACAAAAACGCATGCAGAAACAATAGCGAGGTCACACATAACAACATAACATAATTTGAGGCCTCGTGAGGTCCCACCAAGTCACAATAATTCTTCTATACTCAACAATCCAAATCCATTGAAGAGAAAAAAGTTCACAACGAGTTGAAATAAACGAAATACAATATTCACTTACAGGAACTTAACTACACTAATATATAGTTAAATGGGTCATTACCAAATAAACTTTATATAAATTAACATAAGCTTAAAAACAAAAATCTAGACAAAATAATCTATATAATAATAGTAGAGTTTCTAGGCTCCACAACGCGCTACGTCAGCAGTTTTGTAGGGTCCGTAGGTATTGTTTTTTAACGTATAGACTTAGTAAGATGATTATGAACAATGAAATACACTTTAGCCAAGTGGTATAAGGTGTTCAATTAAGCATGCAAGATCGTGGCTTCAAACCACGCAGCTATCATGTATTTTTGATTTTTTGACTTGAATTATTATCAAATGGGCTTTTTGTTTATAAAGTTTTTATGTATTTTTGGGATTATTATTTTAAAGATCTTGGATAAACCCTAAAGTTTAACAAGTTCAAACCCAAAAATGGTTAAAAATAGATCCAAAACCGAACAATAAAAAAAAAAAAGTCTCACGCGGTTGCATACACGGATGGCTTAAAGAACCTTAAAACTATCCTATTATAATATAGTTCAACCCAAAAATAATAAAAAAATAGATCCAAAAACGAACAGACCAAAAAAAAAAAGACACGCGGCTGCCTACGTGGATGACTTAATGAAGCTGGAATAATATAGATTAAGAGCTCAAAAATTTAATCCTTGCACAGATTTCCTAATATATATTTTCAAAAAAATGTATGTGAGATAAAATTAAAAAAACAACAAAATTTAATTATTTTTGTTATTTATTAAATGAATATGTAATTTCTCTTACATTTTAATAACTACTATAATTTCATTGAAAACATTCCTCATCACCGATTCCAGACCCTGGCGAATGGATTCCCACAGTCGATGATGCCGTAGATAAAAATGCCACATCATTTATGAACAAAACTCAAACTTACAAAAAAACCATATATAAAAATCTATCTAATGAAACTTAAACAACGAATATTAACTTAATTAAGGTTATTTTCAAACTGATAAATCGTTTAATACAAATATAAATACTATAAATATAGAATTATATCAAGTTTTGACCTACAATATAAAAAAAATATTTACAACAAAAAGAAAACACCTACGTTTACACACTAAAAACTATATTATAGTCTAACTATTACTATAAACCTTATTTCGTATATAAATAATATTTAACACATTCCTAATATATTTTCAAAAAAATTGTATGTGAAAAAAAAAATATTAAGTATTTTTTGTTATTTATTAAATGAATATGTAATTTCTCTTACATTTTAATAACTACTATAATTTCATTGAAAACATTCCTCACCATTAACTCCTGACTCTGGCGAATGGATTCCCATAGTCGATGACGCCGTAAATAAAAATGCCACATCATTTATTAATAAAACCCAAACTTACAAAAAACCATATATAAAAACCTATCTAATGAAACTTAAACAACGAATATTAACTTAATTAAGGTTATTTTCAAATTGATAAATCATTTAATACAAATATAAATACTATAAATATAGAATTATATCAAGTTTGACCTACGATATAAAAACTATTTACAGCAAAAAAAAGTAAAAAATAGACACCTACTTTTACACACTAAAAACTATATTATAGCCTAACTATTCCTATAAACCTTACTTCACATATAAATAACATTTAACACATTATATATACAATATTTTCACTTTACATTCTTATTACATTCTTTTAATTTCATTATTATTTGGTATTATTAGAAGAATCCACTAAACCAACAATCGAAAAGATATTGCAAATACAATGATCCCAGCCCCGCGTTTGCGCTGGAAGTATGCAACTAGTAATTAAGAAAGAACGGACACATCATTTTACACCAAAATGAAGAGACAAATAAAGAAGGCATAAAAGCATTGATTCTGAAACACTAAATCATTCGTGAAAGAAGATTTTGTAATATTCCACAAACCAAGAATACAAAATAAATTAGGAGAAAAAAAAATAAATAACAGGAGAAAAGAGCTTTAACTTTTGAAAATGGAAGCACAAACACAAAAACACAAAGTCTCTGGTTTACCTTTTAACCCATTCAAGAATCGTCCTTTAGTTTCAGTACCCTTGCTTATTTCCCAACCCCTCTGTTTTTATTCGCCTTCTCTCAGCCTTTCTTCTTCTATCAGGTAAATGATTATGATGAGCATATATCCCTCAACATACCTCTCTACTCCTCTCATCTTTCTAATAGCTTGCAATTGCATGCACAACACAGACGGTTTAGCTACTTCTTCTTGTTTAATTTTGTGTATGGCTGCGTGCCTTATAATAGCGAGACTTAAAAATCAGTGAAGTGATAACTCAAACTTATGAGATTTTATATGTATGTTTTTAAGAAAGAAAGAGTGAATGGAGCTGTGGACAGAAGCTAGAGCCCTAAAGCCAAGTCTAAGAGGAGAAGCTATTAGGCCTCAAGTGATTGTGTCTAAGGAACTAAGCCGAACTTCTTCTGCTGAAGATTTCTCCGTTGAGTGTTTCCTCGATTACTCAGAAGAAGTTCTTGAAGAAGAAGAAGAAGAAATTGTCTCCGTTTGTTCTTCACAAGAAGAACAAGAACAAGATTGTTGTATCTTTAGTTCACAACCTTGCATCTTTGATCAACTTCCTTCTCTGCCGGTATATTTCTTTTTCTTACAATTAAAAGAAACTTATTTGATTTTTCTGATTTTTAAAAATTATTTTCTGATTTTTAGTATGAAGATGTGGAAGAGCTTGAATGGGTATCTCGTGTAGTGGATGATTGTTCTTCATCAGAAGTCTCACTTCTCTTCACACAAACCCACAAAACCAAACCAAGCTTCTCATCTTCAATTCCGGTTAAACCAAGAACCAAACGGTCTCGGAACAGCTTAACCGGTGACCGGGTGTGGCCACTAGTTTCAACCAATCAACATGCAACAGGAGAGCAGTGTAAGAAGAAGAAACTAGAAACGGCGCTTGTGTTTCAAAGAAGATGCAGCCATTGTGGCACTAACACCACACCTCAATGGAGAACCGGTCCGGCTGGTCCAAAAACCTTATGTAATGCATGTGGAGTCCGGTTTAAGTCCGGTAGGCTCTGCCCAGAGTACAGACCGGCGGATAGTCCGACCTTCTCAAATGAGATCCACTCCAATCTTCATAGGAAGGTTATGGAACTGAGAAAGAGTAAAGAGTTAGGTGAAGAAAGAGGAGAAGCTACTACTAAATCAGACCAAGTCAAATTTGGCACCCGAGTGGTAGAGAAGACTTAGGTAAATTAAAAACCTACTTGTTTTAACATTATCTCTAGTTTCGTATAATTTAACAACTTGGTCCCAAACATGTTAAGCTGTTTTGGAATTAGTGTACTGAAAAGGTTGTTTTCTATGAACAAGACTATGTATTTTTAATGATGTTAGACCACCACCACTACTACATAGAATGATTTTGGTCCATGTAAAGTGCTATAGACTTTTTGAAGTATTTGGCAAACTATAAAAGTTAACAATCTGACAAAAGAAATGCAAAATTAATGAACTATTCTGAAACTTCTACAGCATTTTTTTGAAATAAATAATAGTTCTATTTTGCATATTCGCTGTGTGGTTATAGGTTTTCTTTCTGCCTCGTGTAAACAGTAAATTATTTCTCCTTTACCAAGAATCAAAGAATAGTAAAGACTTAACTTTACCACAAAGGAACACTCACCCAAATCCTTTCTGTAAGCATAAAATCTTAAGGTTTAGACTGTAGTGACAAAATGATTAAACACAATATAACAGCACATATCATATACCAGCTTAAATCTTCGAGCACAAAGACTTAACTTTACCAACATGTTTCAGGTTCGATTCACCTGCTGCGCGAAACTAAGTCACAATTATTCTGATCATCTAACATGGATATGGGCATATGCTTTAGGGCCCATTTGAATACCCGGAGAGAGGGCCTATCCGTGAGCTGCACCTCCCCTTGGAGATTAGTCTGGACCTCTCTATAGACCTAAGATACCCCAGATTAATAAAAAAAAAGAAGTTACTTTTGTATCTTAACTGTTACATAAAGACTGACACTAGAAGGACTACAGTTCCATGGACCTCTTTGGTCAGTACTTTCACATACCCATATATTTTCTTATAAACTAGATCTTAATTCTTAAGTGAACCTCAATATCAAACGACAATATCTTTCCATGTAAAAATGTAGAAGAAAACCATTGAATTCTACAAATTGGTGCTGCCTAGCTTCTTCCAAGTGAATCTCTCTCACAAAACATGGACTTGTGTTTTCAGACGTTGTAATTTGGTCGAGAGAGAAAAGAATTAATAGAATTTGATACTTTCTAAAGATTTAATTGCCAAGTATCTCGGTCTTCTCTATCAATCAATAATCCGTTGTAGTCTAGCTGGTTAGGATACTCGGCTCTCACCCGAGAGACCCGGGTTCGAGTACCGGCAACGGAGTTACCTTTTTTGTCTCCTCCATATCCAGTTTACTTGTTAATACTTTGGTCTTGTTCAGTTCTTTTTTAAATCCGTTTCTCAAGGACCGAGTGCGTCTGTCGCTTTCAGATGGGACATAGAGGATATTTTCAGATGGGCTAGTAATTATCATGGGCCAGTTTCTTTTTGTGACTCTGGGCCGAATTACAAGCCCATCTATACACTTTCCTCTCGGTCCCTCTGTACAACACAGAAGGCCTCTGAAAATCAGATCGGAATCAGAAAGATGAGCGGAGTTTCAACGGCGGCGTATTTTGCGCGTCGAGCAGCGCAAAAGGAGAGAGTTCGAATCCTCTATCGCCGTGCCCTTAAGGATACTCTGAACTGGGCTGTTCATCGCCACATTTTCTACCGCGACGTAAGTTTCTCCCTCAGATCTCCAGAATCGGATTTTGATTTCGTCGTCTCTCTGTTTCTGCTGATCTCGCGTTTTGGGTTTTTTTGAATTTCATTGATCTTCGTTTCCTTTACAGGCTTCTGATCTGCGGGAGAAGTTTAATGCCAACCAAGATGTGGTATTGTTCTCTTCTTTATTTCGTTGCTCTGTTTTTTCCATCTCCTGCCGTTTCTTTGTTCGTTTGTTGATTGAATTTTTCAGTAATCTTCGGGAAAGGAAGTGTATTATTGTATGTTATGTTTGATCTAATTTGGTAAAGAGAGAGACTTTTGAGATATGACGACGTTAAACATGATAAAGTTTGCTCTTTTCTCTGCCCTGTTTACGCATCTGCTAGGCTTTAAGTGTGTTCAGAAATGCAAAGCGTGTTTTCACAGACGTGTGTACACTACAAAGTGAGTACTTACAAGAGAAAAAAAAAATAAAGAAACAGAAATGATGTTCCATAGTTCCTGTGTTGAGTTGGTATCTCCATTTATTACTATGTAGAGTGAGCTCTGCTTTAGCTATCCATTAGCTCTTATGATCTTACTGTTTCTGTGTAATCCACTTAGGCTTATACTGAAACTCTTCTTCTTCTTCCAACTCTTTGACTAGATGACAATGTTGGTGATTGCGAATTTTTACCTTTTTATTCTCGTTGTATTTCCTTTGATTTGTAGGAGGATGTTGATAGAATCGATAAACTGATTGCTCATGGTGAAGCTGAATACGACAAATGGCGACACCCTGATCCTTATATCGGTAAGCACTTCAAATCGTGATGGTATATTTGATAGGAAGATATGTTTGTAGAACTACGGTCCATTTCTTGAATTGGATTCTGAATGACCTCTCTTTTTGTAGTTCCATGGGCTCCTGGTGGCTCAAAGTTCTGTAGAAACCCTACTCCACCTGCTGGGGTACTCTTTCTTCTCAACGCTTACTTATTGCCTTACATGTCATCTCACTTTCTTATTGGCATCTGCTGATCTTCTCTTCCTGACTGAATGTTGCAGATTGAGATTGTGTACAACTATGGCCAAGAAGACAACCCATAACATCTAAATTTTTTCATACCCATCAATAAAGTAAGTTGGATGATTACCAGATACTCTCATTGTTACATTCTAAACTTGCTTCGTTTCAGTCTCATAAACGTCTAGTTCAATGGAACCACTATGATGTTAAGTTTCAGTGGTGTTTATTATCTACTGCAGATTGAAGCATCTTGTGTCTATGGTTCAGAAGATAAACTAAAAGGCTTTCAAGGTTGAAACTTTGACGGACCAATTGTAGTTTTCTAAGATGTTTCGTTTGAGTAACACATTATTGTTTCTACTTGTTTTATATTTCTTCCATCTAAAAGCAGTCTCGGCTGCTCTTTAGCTGCCAAGTATCAATCTCATTATGAGTCATGGATGTTCTGGCTTTTCTAAACCTATGAGGAAAACAAGAAGTTGTGTGTTTTTTTTTTGTCTACTTTGACCACATATCTACCAGCGTTTTATACCGTTTTAAACCGAACATTGTTTGTTCTGGAGCCACAAAAAGTGTTTTCACTTTCCAACTTTAGTTAGGAATGGGTTTGCTGAAGGATCATTTAATAGTTGAGGTTAGGGGAGGGCGTTCAGGTTCGGGTCAGATATTTTGGATGGTTCGGTATATGAGAATAATATCCATTCGGGTATTTTTAAGTTTCGGGTCAGGTTCAGGTTTTTTTAGAATTGGTTCTAAAAAAATTTGAAAACATTCTTAGTCTCTCCTAGTTTACGCAACAAATCATATGAAAAATAAACTCGATGCTTGTATAAAAAACAAAAACAAAAACAAACAAGTCGGGAAATTTGTCTTAGTTTCTTAGTAAAAGCAAACAATTTAAACAAATTGTCTAAGTCTTAGGCAAACAAACTGAAACAAACAAACTAGCAAAAGATTTCCTTGTCTCCATCGATCCATCCTGTTACACAAACAAAAACAAAATTATACAAAGAAGAACAATGAACAACATATCATGATTTCATGTTTTTTTAATAAATATTATACCTTCAAGCCAGATGATATTACTCTATCTTTTAGTCAATTTGATGCTGGTTTAGAGGTTCATACTGAAGATGCAAGTGGAGCTTGTAGATGTCAATGGTCTTCCGTGACTAACTAGACGACGAAGTCACTGATGCTGGAGGCATTAGTCGTTACTACATAAGGCATGCGGAGTGGTGGGTTACCATGTGGATGCAAGATATGCTGAGATGGAGAAGGATAAACTAGAGGTTTATGTCTTGACGTAGTCGTTGAAGTAGTTGCTGATGCAGCGTGTGTCAGAGAGTGAACCAGGAGGCATGCAGAGTGGTAGAGACCATGTGGATGCAAGATGCTGAGCTGGCGTGGGATAAACTTGAGGAGCAAGTTTATACCGTGGAGAAAAGGCAAGAGATAAGCTTGAGGAGCAAGTTTATGCCTTGAGGAATAAGTACAAATCCAAGAAAAGGAAAGTGTACTTATTAATATGGAAGTTGTCCATATATCCATGTTGCCTTGGAGACTAGGGTTTCAGGAACGTGGAGCTCACTATAAAAGAGCTATAGAGTCGTGTGTATTCCATAAGACACTTGGGGCTTTTATTATAGAGGAAGGGTGAAAATCCCTTAGGGTGTTCTTGGGTCGTGCCGAAGCAGTTGCTGAGGTACTGACGATGGAGAGACAAGTTTGGGTAGATTAGGAATCTTTCAGTAGCAGCTGTTAGGGTGTTAACAGGCTGTGTAAAGCTGATAAGCAAGTCTTGTAATAGATTGTTTATTAATGATTTCTAATAAAGCAAATGTGTTGCTTGTATCTATTTTGTCTCTTGATTTATCTTCTGCATTACCTTATTATGGTGTCATCTTTGCACTTACACATACTCTACAAAAGTTTAGGAGAAAACAAAAAAACAAGATAGTTAGCGTACATAACAAAAAGAGACCAAGTACTAAACACTAAATTTACAAACCTCTTTGGAGCTTATCTTCTGATTTAATATCTCCTAGTAGTTGAGCATTTGTGAGAACCTTTGATTCAAATTTAGTGTCATGCTTCAGTCATTGCTCGGTACACATCAAAACCTCAACCATGTAGTGACTTAAACAACTCCTATAAGGTTCTATTATCCTGCCACTAGTGCTGAATGCACTTTCAGATGCAACTGAAGAAACTTGCATTGCGAATAGATCTCGAGCTATTTGTGACAGGATTAGATACTTGCCACTGTTGGCTTTCCACCAAGAGAGCACATCATAATTAGTTCCCACCATCTGATCTGGAACCTCAACGCCATCCTTAAAATAAGCGTCCAACTCATTTAAGTCTCTCGCTCCAATCTCTACTGCACGCCAATCATCCATGCTAGGAGGTCCAACTCGTTTCTTGCCATTGTCCATCTCAATGAAATGATCATTGTATGGTTTGTCCTCCAGTCCCATCTTATCAAATGCAGTCTTGAACTTAAGTGCCCTTTGCAACATCAAGAATATAGAATTCCACCTAGTTTTAACATCTAATGGCAAGCTTCCTCTTTTCATTTTACGAGATTCAACCTTTAGTTCATATGTCTTCTGCTTATTTGTTCCTGCTTTAACATAGGCAATAGCATTGCTGATTTCTGTAATACTTGCATCTGTTTCAGCTAATCCGTCCCTCACAATCAAATTAATAATGTGAGCAGCACACCTCATATGCATAAACTCCCTTTCATGACAAATGCTTCATTCAAGACAAGAGAGAAACTATGATCAAAATGCATCAAAGCATTACTATTGGCTGTAGCATTGTCAACTGTCACACATAAGACCTTCTCTATTCCCCACTCAGCTAGGCATTCTAAAAGGGTAGACGAGATGGTTTTACCTTTGTGGTCTGTGACATACTTAAATCCGATGATCAATTTCTTCAAACGCCAGTTTGCATCAATGTAATGGCTGTTATAACCATATAGCTACAGTCTGCAAAAAACACTGATAACAAATGTCTGAGAATTCTGATGATCATTTTTTTTGTTGACTCAGAAACAGTACATGTTACTTGTGAAACCCATATGCCTGTGGTCAGTGATACTCTTTGCTTGTTAGACATGAAAAATTGTTTAAGAGCAGCCTTTCTCTTAGTATACATCTCCACAATTGTTCTTGTCACTGCCTTTCTTGATTGAGGGTTATGCAAGCTGACCTAAACACAAACCATAACCACAACATATATATATATACATATATCTCGTACATTGAATAGACATGATAAAAAGAGTTTCTCATTCCTTACCTTATCACAGAAGTGTCTCCATCCTACACTCTCAGTAAAAGATAGTGGCAATTCTGCAAGTACGATCAATTCATTTGTTGCTTCCCAAAAAAAAGCCTCTGAAACTTTGGGACTCATCAAAGAACCTTTTTTTTTTAAACATGTTGGCTTTTACCACGATCTCATGTCCAAAAAAGTCTGGAACAACAAACTTGCATAATCATCTCCAGACGTGTAAGCAGTATAAGGCATGGCTAGATGGTCAAGATCGAGTGCTATAGACAATAATTGCAAATGCATTTGTCCATGTTATCTTCTAGTCTTCTGAAATAAGTACACACGTCTGACCTTGTAGGGAGTACACGTTTCACTTTACTTGATTCATTGCAATCTTCAGGACCCGTCTGCTTCCTTTTGCCTCTTTGATTACTATCTGGAGTCAGGAACTCATCTTCATCCTCATGTGACCTTTGGTTAACATTTTTTTCATTGGGACATGATAAATCCATCTGGTCATCAGTAACCAAAGCAAAAAAAAGGAATCAATCATATTAGCTTCTCTGCTCATCGATAACAGACGTAAATCAACATGGACATGGACACGATGATAATCGAATCATACTACAAACATAATCTAAAATTTTAACTTAAGAAATCAAACAAATTCGAGAAGGATTACCTATGATTGCCTTCTCGACGTCACAGACTGAGAACTCGATGAAGGCAGTGTGTATAGGGTTTCCAGTTTTGATAATTAAAGAAAGGAAATAGGAGTGGTTAAGGAAAATCAACGGGCTGGGTGGGAATCAAAATTGTCGGGAACACAAAACGGCTCAGCAGTCAGAAGATTTGGGAAAGGGGATAAATGGTTAGGGTTACTTAGGGCTAAGGCTTATATACTTTCGATTATGTTTGGATGTGATCGGGTATCGGGTAATAACCGATCGGGTTCGGTTATCCGTAAGTGGTATATATGTTAACCGATCAGATATTTTTGACTAACCGAACCGCTTACTTTGGGTCGGGTTCGGGTTCGGGTATCAGTTTTAATGTCCAGCCCTAGTTGAGGTACTACGCACATTGATAAACTATAATGGCAAATTATGTGTGAAGATGATGCCATTGAGTTACGTATGTGGGTTCTATGTTGAGAAACATACATGGTCAAAATATACATTCTACAATTTGCCGAAGGAACTTGTACGTTGACTGGAAATTTTGTGTCTTTGGAGTTACCACAACATGTGAGATTATTATGGTGACGACCTGTAACTTTACATTTGAACTGTTTTATGTTTTTACTTCAATCCTGAAAGGAAAACTCTACAAACTGTTGAAGTCCAAGGTATTGAAACGTTTAATAAGTCTAGTTACCTAGTTCACGCCTTTGTAGAGGACCTCAAGTTTATAGCAGTGTAAGCTAGTATAGGCTGGAGAGAGACTGCTCTCTCCTTAATGTATATATATATAGTCGTGTGAAGTGAAGTCTATCACTTTGTTGTCTTTTCATTATTATCTTTCTTGTTTTCAATTACATTGTTTGTTACAATACGAACTCCAATCACACACGAACAACAAGATCAGTAATCTCTCACGAGCATATCAATTCTCTCAACGAATATAACCAACTACCTCTCTGTTAGAGATGGGTTCCCCCTCCTTATGAAGAATCTTTGCCTCTTCTTAGATCTAGAACATATTCTTATAAAGATTTTAAGATTCTCAGATTCACTTTACTCTTCAAATCCTTTTTGTAATGTAATTTTTGATCAATAAAATCTCTTATATGTGTTTTTCTCATTTGATTTCAATAAAGAGTTCTCCTAAACCTACACAGAAATATATTATATGAATCCAACAAACACACTGTTTTTGTTTGTGTCAACTGTTATATATCATACTTACACAAGCTATTCCACAGCAGCTTTTACTCAGATAACTACTTCTGCAAGCTAGTAGGTTCAGTAGTCACAACTGATTACCCTCTTGTTTGGAACCTTGAGACGAATGCTATCTCTTTCCCTCTCTTTTAGTTTCTTAGTCAAAATGGGTGATGGTATGCCTAAATAGTAGACACAAATAATAAATAAGAGAATACTAAAGATTCGAGCCATAGAATTTCTCAATTCTGACACAAAAAGAACTTATACTTATTTGATCTAATAAGTACATTAGACCTAATAGAATTATTTTGCTGTATCTAGACTAATACCAATCCAACCCATTTCATGAATTAAATGTGACCAGTTAACCAACCAACAAAACTACGTGTTACAAATAACATCTTGTTGTTGCATCGAAACATATGAATGTTGACTAATCTGGCTAACATTGAACTTGGTAAAATGAAATGGTTGAAATGAGTTGGATTGGTGATGTATGTTATAATATACAAATCTCTAAATTTATCTCAATCTTCATGCGTGTGATCGATCTTTCTATCTCACTTTCATCATTCGGCTTGTCTTGTTATTTTTAGAGAAATTAGGACTCGTACCAAAGAATTTAGCGTATTTAGAAATATACCAAAATACGATATTTGTGAACTGTACACAATTCATTAAGACACTGCTACCCCTATAGTTGATCCATTATCCTAATGTCAATCCTAGGTCAAATCTTATAGGTAGATTTGATTAGATCTTATACACTGTCACCATATTTATTCAAATCTTTGTTTGTCAGAGCGTAAACAATTTATTCTCTCTCATTTCTCACACTATTTCAAAAATATATTTTTAGTTGAAGACCAAAACCCCATTTCGAATTGAAATCTTAGAAATCATCATCAACCATGAAGTGAAATCTTAGAAATCATCATCCCCATTTTGAGGTGAAACATACATACATGGTTGTCATTGAATAATGAACATGCTCAACTTTATTTCTTTTGGTATAATACTAGTTTAATTTGTTAAGAATATTTTACAAGTATAATCATACAGTTAAAGATTATCCATATAATTATTAGATTCAATAAAAGTTTTGGTCAGATATAATCTTACACATATATTTGAATTTAGTTAAGAATAATTATTTGAATGTTAACATATAACAATGTGTTCATATATTTATGTATATGCTTGAGTTTGTCTCTTAGTATTACTGTTAACCTGTAAATTACTAGATAACACATAACTATTAGTTCATTTTTTTTTATCTCTTTGGAAATTATTTTTGAGATTTATGGTTAGCCGTCTAATCTTTCTTATTTATAGCTAAGAATATTTTAGCTGGGTTTTACCCGGACAGCCTAGAGTTGAATTAACCAAAAACATAATAAACCTAAATAGCGTAAATTTAATTAGCCAGAAACATAATTTATTAAGTTATTATTTTTATAATTTGTATATCAACAAAGTCTTAGTATATGGTTAATAAATATAATAGATGTGCAACACATATTTGTTAGCCGTCTAAACTATTTTTTCACTTAAGAACCATATTTTGTGTCCATATGGGTGTTCGAAAAACTACTTTTTTAATTTGAATAAAAAAGTTAACCTAATTTGACAACATATTAGACATGAAATATAATTAAGTTAGTCGGAAATATAATCTCTTAGCTTATTATTTTTATAATGCTTACATCAACAAAATTTTAGTATATGATTAATAAATTTTATAGATGTGTAACACATATTTGTTAGCCAGCTAAACTATTTTTTTTTTACTGCAAATGCCATATTTGTGTCCATATAGGTGTTCGGATCATCAAAATACAGTTTTTCTTCATTTTCTGATTTCTAAAAACAATTATCCGGCTAAACTACAAATTGCGTGTGTATTTTTTATATAATTATCATATCTCTATTGTGAGGGTTATAAGATCGAATCTCTAACTTTAATTGAAATCCTTGGATTCTGCAGGTGGAATGAGAGGCGTTGTCTAGACGCGTTGTCTGGATCGTCGAGTAACGACGAATCTGCAAGATATAAAAATATGAAAGACAATGAAGTTCAAGAGATAGAATAGTTCATAAACTCATGGAGAAATAATCAGATAAACGTATGAATTACTCAGACTTCATGATTTTCTTTATTTTTATTTAGATTTAGTAAAAAAAAAAAAGAGAAGAGAGAAAAGTGCAGCAAATTTAAACCAATTTTTTTTATAATATTTTCAAATCTACATAAATTTTTTTGTGAGCTTATAGGTATACATCATGATGGCTACAGAAATGGATTTGAGGATAGTTACGCCTTTCACCAAGACAGTTGACATCAAGCGCAATAAAATTTTACTGTTTTTTTTTTTTAACAACGGAAATTTATTAATTTATAAAATGTAAACATTACATAAAAAGTACTAACTATAATAAGACATACATAGAGTTACATAAAGAATATGCAAAAACAACTTATAGGAAGTAACACTTGAAGACGTTTTTGCCCAAGAAGCTTCTTTTGTTTTCCTATCTTCATACAAAGTATCAAGATTGTCGGTTGTCTTCTGCACATTCACATTTGATCTAATACGATTTCCACCCTTAGCTATCATCCATGAGATGAAATTCCAAACTTGATATCGTAACATAAACATGGTAAACACCAATTCCTTTTGTTGTATAACATTGGCCAACACCCAATTTGGATCTAACCATATTGTTCGATAAAGAATCCAATATATTGATTCTTTTGAACAAAATATAAATTGAGATTGCCAATTTTCAACGATTATACGAACATCGCCATACAACAAAAGGAATACATCTTCAGATTGAAACCATTGTATTTTCCTTCGTAATTTCAATGGTTTCCTTTGCGGTTGCATCACCATAACCAATCCACAAATTTGATTTCCAAAAACCCAATATATTGATTTTTCAAACAGAAACCAAACCTGTGATAGTCCATCATCTTCAATATCCCCGCCTGTAACACACCATGGTGACTCCTCTTGCACTGATACGTTAATTCTCCATGAATATAATATGCCTGGATCCCAGATTCGTTGTTCATAACACCATGTAACTTGTTGGGATCGAAACTGGACATCGCAAAGGATCCAACTGGCCTTCACGGAGATAACAAGTTCAGTTTGAGTGAAATCAACACATTGAAATACACCCAAAAAGAACCATATATGCAACATCTCCATAATTGGAGAAGACTCTTTCATCAGAAGAAATTGTCGAGAGAGGAACAAAGACCTTCTCACCATCACAAATAAAATCAAAGTACAGAGCCACCGGCAACGCCGGCAACCCAAACCCTATCGCCCTTTTAATCGCGTCTTGAGGAAGCGGTTTGAAAGGTGCGTTGGTTTTCCCGATCCAATAAAATTTTACTGTTATTGACAAATTCCTAATTTCAACATTTTCTTTTTAAGCAAATTAGCTCTTATTTTTATAGCTAGATGATATTGTGAATAAATCATGTAAAAGATGTAAAAAAGAAAGAATAAATCATGTAAAAATTATCTAATAGGGGATAACTTTCTTTTTTTTCTTTTTTTCTTCTGTTTCACTTTAAGTGAACAAGAAAAACCACAAAAGTGACACGGCACGATCATCTACAAATTGATAACATGAACCCAATAGGATACTATGTCTTCTTCGTAAAGCTTTTTACATTTAAATTTGATTCCTTCTTATCTTATCTCGGATTGTTATATGCTTTTTTTTTTTTTTTTGCATGATCGCAAACAGCCTGACAGCTAGAACGAAAACAACACACTATCATGAATATGCATTTTCATTTTTATTTTATTTTTGTCCAAACTCCAAAGTTTCCTCCAGGTAAAAAGGAAATATGTCCAATCCGTGTTCTAAAATATAAAGAAAAATACAATAGAAACGTGAGCCACATAACATTCAACCGCTACCTAAAGCCTAATCAATAAAGAAGTAAGTCAATAACAACAAATACATGTCAGAGTCTAGCATATGTAACATGTGAATGTTGTCATGCTCTCTTTACTAACAACCACATCGTCCACGACGGCGTTCAAGTATTCAAGGTGCGGCCAAACCTAAGGCCGAAGATAATAATTAATGAAGGACGACTACTTGTAGCATTGCATACAATTCATCAGTTTGAAAAAGACTCATAACAATCTAGTGGTAGACAAGACTAAGTTGCTCATCGTTTGAATTTAATAGAAAAAGTTCATAAAACGGTCTTTTATTTAATAAAATATGAATTAAGATACAAAGATCCGAATTTCACAAAAGTGATTATATCATCCGGATCCTCAAATTAAAACCTCAAACAACGATGGATCTCACCATCTGATTATTATTCTTAAAAAAGTTATTAAAAGAAACTAAAACATCGGACAATGACGATTTTATGATAACATAAATGCAACAACAAACCACATTGTCACGCGGAAAGGTAATCGAAGCCATCTTCGTCGCTGTAATAAAAGCCAAGGTTACTAATCGCAGCTGAAAGAGAGTTACTCATAGATGCCTGCTCAGTCGCCAGATACGGCATATTGTTGAAAGAACGATCCAGACACGCCACAACATTGTTCAGCTCCTCATCATCTTCATCTTCACCACCACCTTTAGTATGCATCACTTTCTCAGCTCGGTGCTTCAAACTCTGAAACATTATCTCTGGCTCATGCTGAACCGCTCGGAGAACATCTGCAGAGGACTGACCAGGCACGGCTCGGGTCACTGCAAAGCTATGCGGTCCATCGCTCTGAGAGACCCTAACAACGCTTGGCCCTCCAAATAAATTGTGCACTCCACCTAACGCCTCCTCGTAAGCCCCTCCAAGAAACATACCCAAGAAGTACTTCCCTCCACCGCCGTCTAGCTCGTGCAATGGCAAGCTAGACTGACCGCCTATGAACTTATCAATCTTCCCATCGCTATCACACGTCAAATCCGACAAGATCCCACGAGCCATGGGCCTTTGGTCGAGCTTATGGATAGGAACTATAGGAAAGAGCTGATCAATCCCCCAGAGATCAGGAATCGAAGTGAAAACCGAAAGGTTGACATTGTAAGTCTGTACCGGATCAGACGCGCCTATGGACTTCAACACCCACTCGCATAGCCCATCAACAGAAGCTAACTGCTCGATGCTCAAAACACCTTCTTTGAAACCCTCAACACATCTCTGCTTCAGCTTGTCTGAATAAAAAAGGCAGCTTTCTTGGTCTCCACGCATCACAGCAGCGTATAGCTCCTCGTAGTCATCTCTAGCCTCCTCAGATTCAAGCAGGAAGTTAATATCATCATGATTCACTTGATGAGCCAGAGCCATTGGTTTAGACGCAGATACAACCTCGAAGATCAACACTGAGTGATGAGAGACAATAGCTCTTCCGCTTTCACTACATATCACCGGATGTTTCACAGATCTCCTGTCACAAACAGACCGAACAGAACCCACAACAGCTTCAGCATACTCCTCGAGAGTATAACCGACAGAGAGATCCGTCTCTCCAGACTTAGACCCGTCATAATCAATCCCCAACCCACCACCAACATCAATAACCTTCATACCCGCACCTAGACGCACGAGCTCACAGTAAAGCTGAGCAGCTTCCCCAACACCATCAGACAACAACTCCGTCGATGGAATCTGAGACCCAATGTGAAAATGCAGAAGCTGGAGACAATCAAGCATGCCACTCTCACCAAGCTTCCTCACAACACGAACAATCTGTCTACTCGTCAAACCAAACTTCCCCTTCTCACCAGACGTCGCTCCGAAATGACCAGAGTGTTTAGTCCTCAGCTTAGCTCGTAACCCAATCACAGGCCTCACGTTCATCTTCCTACTCAGATCAATAACCAAATCAAGCTCCTCTTCTTGCTCCAACACAATCACAGTGTTCAACGCAAGCTTCCTCCCAAGCAAAGCCAGAGAGATATACTCAACGTCTTTAAAACCGTTACACACAAGAAAAGCCTCGCGGTTACCTTTACACAAACAGCTCATCGCGAGGAGAATCTCCGGTTTAGATCCAGCTTCCAAACCGAACCGGAATCCAGATCCGAAATTAACAATATCCTCCACGATAAACCGGTCTTGGTTACACTTAACCGGATACACGCCTTGGTAATGAGAATCATAACCCTGGGACTGGACCGCGGAATCGAACGCGGATTGGAGAGACTCGAGGCGGTTTTTTAACACGTCAGGGAACCGGACGATAACCGGGAGATTTAATCCTAAACCGCCTAACGGCTTCGGATCTGTTACTTTCTTAACAACCTTCAACAGATCGATGTCTTGGTGAGGTAACGTGTTCGAACCGTGAGGACGAACAGAGATGTTGCCGGAGGGGTTCGCTGTGAAGTACGGAGCTCCCCATCCGTCGATCCGGTAGAGAGAGGAGGAGAGGGAAGTGGTCCAGCGGCAGGAGGTGTCAACAACGGCGGCGGAGGTTGGTGGCGCCGGTGGTGGCGGAAAGGCGGTGGTGTCGACGCAAGCTAGAGCAGGCATCTTCTTTCAGCGACGATTAGAAGAAAAAAGAAAAAGAACTTTTGAACCTTGATTTTGTGAAGGTAGGGGCGTGAAAAGCGCCGAGGCCGGAGGGCCTCGGCTATCCCCTCAGAAGAAGGGGGAAGATGGATCTGTCTCCGCCGTGAAACCCACCTCTTGCGCCCCGACCCGATGCGAGGATCTCCACGGTGAATGTTCAGGGAGGAAACTTTAAAATTTTATGGTGAGAATAAACGAGGAAAGGAGATTAAACACCGGGTTTTATTGCCTTCTCATGCAGAGATCTGGAGGAAGAGAATATGAATGTTTCTCCGGAAAATGCGAAAGTTGTGAGATTGATGAAGGGGAGGCGTGTGGTTGATGAAGGGAACTTGTTGTTGTTTATATAGGAGGAGGAGGGTAGGAGGTTATGGGGTGATGCAAGTGGGCCGTGGGGCCCATTTTGATTATCTTTTTAAAAAACTTTCAAGATTTTCAACGCCTTTATATTTACACCGAATAAAAGGAAAAGTTATCCTTTATTTTAGTTTCCTATGCGATAGATTCGGGTGCTGATTAGCTCATAATAATCAGATTATGTTTTCGAAAGTCTGATTCGTTATATATATATGTCTCGTTTTGTAAAATGTGACATTCCATTTTGCTATATATTTTGAAAATGAATTTCAGGTCTAAGCATAAAACATTTTGAAAATATCAAAACTAAATTTAATGTCGAAAGAAATTATGATTTTCTTCATTTTCTTTTATCAAATGAGAAATAATGATATGATAAGTATTATCTTATTTGTGTTTGTATTAGTGTTTAGTAACGTGTGGACTGAAACTCATATGTAAGTAAGTTAAAATAGAAAGAGAAAGTAGATCTGTTTGGTCCACAATTTTCACGTTACCTGGCACCGTTTGGTTTCCAAAATATATTTTTCCTTTTCTACGTTTTTCATCATATATTTTCCTTTTTACGTTTTGATATAAATCCTATTAATAAATAATAATACTATTTTTTGGTCTGACGCTTTTCTTATAGTTAATACCTTTTATAAGAACAAGATTCTCTTTTGGTCACGAACACTTGGCTAGCAGCCGCCGCGTGGCGGAGCAGGTAATGATATGTGTGCCGTCTTCCCATATTTTAAAGAAACAATTACATTATTAGTCACATTTAAGTTTTTAATAGGGGAAAATTGACAAAATAACCCCCAACTTTCGAAAATAAGCCAAAAAATACTCCAACTCACAAACAAGCCATTTTAATCTTCAACTTCTAGTCAAATACGAATAAATCTCATACTTTCGTTGACCAAGCTATTTTAATCTCGTCAAAATTCAAACGTTTAGTTCCGTTAGTTATATTTAACTATTGACTTTTAATGAGCCTAAAATGGCTTGGTCAACGAAAATATGAGATTTTTTTTTTATTTTAGTTTAAAAGTTGAAGATTAAAATTGTACACTTATCTTAACTTAAAAATTGCTATTTTTGTTTATTTTTTTCAACAAAAATTGTAGTTTATCATATCAATTAGAATGACAAACTTAATAAAATATGTTCATATAAGCTTGGTTATAATATTTCTAAATGAATTAAAAACAAAAAAAACTGTTTAGTAAAAAAATTTGATTAAAAATATAATTATACTGTAAATCCATATATAAAATAAAATAATTAAGTGCTTATGTTCAAAAAAAAAATTAAGAATAAAAACATAAAAGTTAAAGGTAAAACCCTAAACACATTATTGTTAAAAGTATAATCGCATATACTCAATAGAGGATGAAACAAGTGAAAATGAGGAACTCAAGTGCGTGAAAGGGATTTCCAGCAGTTGATGTATATAATTTTTTTTAATTCATTTTTATCTAAATTTATTTGAACATATATTATTAAGTTAGTGATTACAATCGATATAAAAAAATATATATTTTTCTGTCAGTTATAAAATAAATTTTAGTTAAGATATTTTCAAATAAGCAATTTTAATCTTCAATTTTTAATTTTAGTTAAAAGAAATCTCATACTTTTGTTGACCAAGCCATTTTAGGCTCATTAAAAGTCAACCGTTAAATATAACTAACGGAACTAAACGGTTGAATTTTGACGAGATTAAAATGGCTTGGTCAACAAAAGTATGAGATTTATTCGTGTTTGACTAGAAGTTGAAGATTAGAATGACTTGTTTGTAAGTTGGAGATTTTTTTGGCTTATTTTCGAAAGTTGAGGGTTATTTTGTCAATTTTCCCTTTTTAATAGGCTTGGACGTTCGGGTATCCGTTGGCGTTCGGATCAGGTTTTTCGAATTTTCGAGTTTTCGGTTTATGCTCATAGCTCCCATTCTAATATTTTACTAGTACGGGTCGGGTTCGGATAATAACACTTCGGGTTCGGTTCAAATTTGTATTGCAGCATAAAACCCGTAAAGTAACCATATATCGTTCGGATTCGGCTTATTTCGGTTTGGTTCGGATATACCCGAAGTATAAAACAAAATTTCAAAACAAAAACATAAAGAAAAACACCGAAACTGAATATAAATTAATCATACATACATAAAGTTGATAAAAATAAAAAAAAATGTTAAATCAGTCATTAAAACATACATCACTTGTAAACAATATGCATTACCTTACATATAAACTAAATTTATTATTTTAATGAACAAATTACAAAGTACTTATTTATAACTAATTATATATTTAAGGTATTTATTTATATTTTAATATTTATTGTATGTATCATATCAAAATAAACATTAAACTGAATATCTAAAATATTTATATATATATATATATATATATATATATATATTTAAAATATTTATATTAACTATTAATTTCGGATATTTCGGGTTACCCGTTCGGGTTTGGTTAAATAACACTTCGGGTTCGGATTTTCTTATACCATCCTATAAGACCCGTTCGGATATTTTTACATTTCGGGTCAGATAACGGGTCGGGTTTTTCGGTTCGGGTTCGGTTCGGATTTTGGATTTTATGCCCAAGCCTAGTTTCTAATATCACTCTCGATCACTTCTTACTCCTAACACACTTTTACAGACATTTTCTTTACACTTTAATACATAAAATTACCAACATGTCCTTCAATTTTCTCTCTTTATTTTTCTAACTAAATCATAACTATCTAATTTATTAAAATAGAAGTACCCAAATAAATTACCCCTTAATTTTTCAAGTTATTTACAATCATATGCCACTGAAGTAATTAATCTAGCTATATTTTAGTTTTGTTGTCTTTTCCTATTTATTAATGCATTTTTCTTAATCTAAATTTACCTAAAAACAGGGAAGTGATTTATTAGCTTTTCTAAACAAATAAAATAATTAAATTAAAAATTCAAACCATAAAATTCCTTACATATATAATTAATAAATAATCTTTACATTAACAATATAATAGATAAACTAAAATACATAAACAATTATAATATTACATATTATTAATCACCTAATTTGCTTCTAAATTAATTTTTGTTTCTTGCTTTGCGGATCGACCTATAATATTAGAAATCACTATGTAAAATGCCTATACAAAACATTTTCACCACTTATATAGAATAATCAAATTGTTTACCACTTATATCGATTGCGGGTGACCCATATGTTAATAAATAAATTAATTTTACTACATAATAATATATTATATATTTAAAATATAAGAGAATTTTTTATTTATGAAAATAAATCTAAAAATAACAAATCAAAATTACAGAAGTTAAGTTGTAAGTAAAATTCAGGATAAAGAAAAAATCAAAAGACATAAAAAATCGAAGGACAAACAAAGTCAACAGTAGAGGAAAATGATTGCAAAAGTAAAAACCTAATTTTTATATAGAATACAAAACAAATTTTGATAACATAGTTACAAAATCTAAAATAAAAAAGTAGAAATTATCTATTGGATCGAGTTCAAGACTTTAACGGTTTTTACTGCTTTTATTGTGTTCTTATATATAACGAAATTATGTCAGATGACCCTAAAAATTGTATATTTCATTAACTAACTAAAACTCCACCTTCTCTCCTTTTTTCTTTTACTATCTCTCTACTTTCTTACTATAAATCTAATTTTGTTTTTTTTTAGTAATTTCATAAATAAGTTCTTTTATATAATTGTGTTTTCTAAAACTAAACTGGATTATATATAGGTAACCGAATTTTTTGGTTCAATCTCGGATCCGGTCGAATTTCAAAACACTGATTATATATCAAATATAACATGTAATACAAATAAAAATTAAAAATTAAAAATAAACCCGCGCGGTTGCGCGGGTTAGGATCTAGTATTAATTAATATGTATTTCTTTTTTATTCTTAGATAAAATATCTTTATCTCCACTACCAGAACACCGGTCTACGTATTCATGTACGATCTTCCACAAAAATGATTTCTCGTGGATCCTAGAGATATTAAATCGTTCACCGTCAAATTTCTCCCTTTTGGCCCCATACTTCCAGGATCAAGCGGCCTAGTGGATCATGGTCTCGTTTCTTCACGGCGGCGATCAAGAGAAGTGAAGAGGTTAGGATTGTTGTTCTGGAATTGTTGCTTCACGGCGGCGACTAAGAGGAAGAGACAATTAATCTTTTGATTTTGTTTTGAAATATTGATTTTGATTTTTAGATTTTTTAAATCAAGAATTTATTGGAATCTCGTAGCCGATATGCCACTTCGTGCTAAAGACCTCAGATCCATATGTACATCTCTGAATCCATAATTTTATGACTTTAGAAAACTTATTGTCTCTTCATCTCTACGAGTTTGAACGCTTCATTAGTGTTTAGAAATATGTAAAGTTGTGTAATATATGGGAATCGTGCTTAGTGTTTGCTTTAGAAACGTTGAAGGTAGATATCTCACTATGTATCCATCCTACTCCTTCAGATTCGATTATCCACAAAACAATGAAGATTCAATGATCCTTTATCTGTTAACATGATACTCTACAACAATCTCCTCTTCTATGTTTTATTTTAGCTATATCATCCTATGTGTGATGTGATGGGGAGCTATTATCACAGTTTGAGCACACCATTTTACTCCGACCTACTTGCAAAGAAGTTCTTTCCAAGGGAGATGACTATTGATTCATTAATCTTACTAGTAATCGCTATTAAAGAAGGCAAACAGTGGATTTGCAAAGCTTCTTGCTTTGTAGAAAAGAAGGTTCCTTACAAACGTATACATCATGGACATTATTAGTATATATTTATGTGTACACCAACAATCTTTAGTTGGGTACACATAATTTATCAGACACGTAACAAACGTGTACACTGTGTACGAATGTCCATGTGTACACCGTCTACCAATTTCCACAGTACACTGTCGCGGTTTCCA